AAATTCTTGGAAGAGAGTCAGCTACAAAATGCAAAGCTGAGGGGCCTGTCTGGTTCAGTAGTGCTATAGATGGCTTCCAGTACTTAAAACCCAATGAAAACACAAGTGCAGATCAAGGTGCAACTGAAGAGCAGGTCCAAGCACAGATCTCGCAAGAAAAAAGCTCCAAATAGCACTGATGTTGTGAGCACTGGGTGTTAACAGAGCAATGGGTGATTTAACCCATGGGAATCTCTGGTCTCTCTTTACAAGCTTCACATCAGCCTTGGTCTGGGGCTGAAGCTGAGCTGCAGTGCAAGAAACACTATCCAGCTCCTGCGGATAGAAACTGGGACATGCACAGATCCTGTGCCCAAACCTTCCAACAAAGCCACACCAGAGCTGAGTTTCTTAATAACAACAGTGCGTTTCTCCCTTTGAATACATGCAGTGGCTATCATGCAGAGAACTACATCTTAGCAGATGTGTACACCTAATATGACTATTCTTACAGCACTCATTCTAATAAGTACTGTAAATGACATCTCAATTAAAAACGAGCAATTGCACACAACTTCCTGCCCTTATTTCTTAATTTGCTTCTGCATAAGGAAAATAAATATGCAGTGGTGTTACCTGAGCTGACTCACACGTAACCTGAATGCCAAATTTTCAGATGCTACAGCAAGTAGAGCCCAGTCCTGAAGGTCTCCTGCATGCAGCAGTGTTCACGTTGGGGGACACAGGGGACACCAGGGATGGGCAGGTGCTATCCTGCCAAACTGGTCCTTAATTCTATGGTAGGAAATGATGAGTATCAAAATTCCTGCATCATGGTTGGGTGTCCAAATCACTCTGGTTGAGGGAGGAATCAACAGAAAAGAGTTTCTAATTTATGAAACACGTTCCTGCTCCTGACAGATTTTTAAACCTGCACTTCTTCAGATGTTTTGTTTTTTTTTTCCTAACTCTCCTCTCCTCTCCTCTCCTCTCCTCTCCTCTCCTCTCCTCTCCTCTCCTCTCCTCTCCTCTCCTCTCCTCTCCTCTCCTCTCCTCTCCTCTCCTCTCCTCTCCTCTCCTCTCCTCTCCTCTCCTCTCCTCTCCTCTCCTCTCCTCTCCTCTCCTCTCCTCTCCTCTCCTCTCCTCTCCTCTCCTCTCCTCTCCTCTCCTCTCCTCTCCTCTCCTCTCCTCTCCTCTTCTCCACCTTCCCTTCCCTTCCCTTCCCTTCCCTTCCCTTCCCTTCCCTTCCCTTCCCTTCCCTTCCCTTCCCTTCCTTTCCCTTCCCTTCCCTGAACAATGAGTTGTTTATGCACTAGAAAAAGCTCTCTCTGTTTAAAAAATATATGTGGAAGATCTTCCACCTATCATGGGTTCAGTTGACATTTTATTGGTTTAAATGGTGCGAATTGGCCACACATCTCAGTGAATGGCTGCAATAGCTGGCGTTTAAACACTTTGGTTTGCATTGGCCAGGTAGGAGTCGCTTGCTGGCCACAAATCTCCCGTTACAGTGTCCTCTGCCATCCTGCACGCAGGGATTAATAGCAGCTTTCTGCTTTTTAGGCTAGAGCTGATCCAAGAGGGCCCAAGAGAAAGGGAGAGATTCCTAAATAGCATGACTGACAAGACTGTGAAGAGGGAGTTTATTCACAGCATTATCTAACTCATTCTTTGGCGAAGGAAACTCATCTACTTTTGAGACTTAAACTTCTAAAGAAAACTGCTATGATCTAAAGAGATTGGCCATAAAACTATTTGTATTGAAAACTTAGCCAGCACGCCTTTAGTGAACTTCATTCATTAACATTCTTCCTGGCAAGGTTTCCATATCTCAGCGTTCATTTTATACTTTAATTTGGTTAGTAGGTCTTTGTTTAATCGTCCTATTGAGAGCAGAACAAAGAAGGTTTAGGTGATACAGTGAAGTAATACACTATATTTTATCTCTGGAAAGCCCAGACAAAGTCAGCAAGCTCTGATACCCTCTGATTCGTTGTTTTATTTTTTTTTTTTCCTCTTCCAGGACATTCGAAATCACAAATCAGTTTTGGAGCATAAAGATCCTCACTGTACTGAGCTGCGGACACCTTCAGAAGAGAAACAACTTGTCAAGCAGAGAAATTATGCTTTGAGCACGACATACAGCCCCGAAGGAAGATTATCTCCAGAAAAGTGCATCTCCATTACTCTGTGGATGGATGTTCTGCATTTATATCTCTGCCCTCCAATAAAATCTGTAGTCAAGATATATATTTTTTTCCATTTCTGGGCTTTTTGCTTCCTGTCTCCATATTAACATCATAGATTTTTTTTTTTTCTTTTTTTTTTTTTTTTTTTTTTTTTTTTTTTTTTCTGGGGGAAAAAAACTCATTAGCAGTGATTTTGCTCAAGGAATATTGCATTTTGCAGCGAGGATGTTGCATTGCTCTTTTCTCCAGCAACCTGCAGGCACAGAATGCTCTAAGGAAGACTTAAAAACTAGTCAGGATAATAAAAAAGAGCTGTTTCCTGATAGATGTAGCTGCTCCCTATCCCTGAATCTGGTGGAGCGTGAGCGGGGAGCTGCTCAGCTGCTGTAAGCCGACACAGCTCCAACTGACTCCCAACTGACTCCAGATAGAAATCTGGCCCTAGAATAAAGGCAGGATTCAACAGGCTTTTCTCATAGAATGGCTTTTGCACTGTTTTCTGGAGTATTTCCTACCAATACACATCATGTTCCTTATAACCACTCCATTCCATGCACTGGTAAAGGGGATTGTTGCATCTGCCTTCTCTTTATATGAACACCCATGATAGTGAGTTGTCTTCTTATTGAAATTCCTAATTCTCCACTTCCTAAACCTTTTCAAACAGCTTTGTTCATAAACTTCAACTGGCTGTAAAAAGAGATGCTTTCCGGAGGCAGCGCTCGCATCCTCTTCCACAGAGCCACTCTCCAAGACAGGGAAAGCACAAAGAGCCCCGATGCTCTTCCATGCAGACCAACAAGCAAAGCAACCCCTAGCTACCCTAAGTGCTATCCCCTCACTGAAGGAGGATGCTTAGGCCAAAATCTAAATCACAACTGGACTCATAGAAACAAAAAAAAAATGAACAAACAAACAAAACAGCCCTAATTCTGTCAGAGCTTATTAAAAGCACAGGAAATATAAGCCATGAGATTATAGAAGCAAATGCATAGATTTTAGTCTTTTTTTAAATTATTTTTCTGAGGAAAGAAGATCCATACCCACCCCGTGCTCAGAGGACAACCATTTTTGGAAGCCAATGGCTCTTTTATGCTCCCAATTCCTGGTCTACACCAGCGTTAAGTGAAAGGGGAGTCAGGCTCTTCACGGCTGCTGACCGAGGTTGCTCCGAAGCGATGACCCGGAGGTGAAAGGCCCCTTCTCCTGTTACTAATCCCGTGAGCCACACAAGCCTCCTGAAAATGATTCTTCGGTTTTATTACCACCGAGGTCATTTATGGAATTATAAAACCCTGGGTAGGAAACCAAGCTGGCAGGCGGCAGCAGTGCATGGTCACAGAGATCTCTGTCCCACGGTAGAAATGGTAAAAGTTCTGCCCTTCTTCCACGCACCTTGAATAATTCAGTTGGTTAAATGTGAGAAGTTGTGATTAACTGAGCGGAGGAGGAAACAGATAAACAACTTACCAAAAGCTAGTTCTTTATTATTGCAACCAGAAATGACCAAAGACTGCATATTTTGTAGGTCTGCGTATTACACGTGGAGTAAAACAAGAATCAGGTTTGAAACATTCAACAATTCAAAATAAAAAACAGCAAACCCAGGAACTTTCTTGACTAACACACGGACTGGTAATTACCAGGGACAGAATATAAATGAAGTGGCATTGAACAAAGAAGGTAACAGTGCACTTTTAATAAACCAATTTCATCCACATCTCCACCAATTTGCAATTTAACAGTTCTATCAGCAAAGCCTCATTTCCCTAACTAGACCGGTATGTTTAAAAACATGACTAATTCATTCTCATTAATATCAATTTGGATGCATTTAAAAAATAACCCTTAATATCTGTGCAACAGGTTAAAGGGCCGTATGCTCAAACCTCAGACGTTTCTCACTGTACAGCCTGAAGTATAAATATCCCCAAATGAACCAATGAAGTCTAAATGCTCCCTATGGCATCAGAAACAACAGAATTTATTCTTATATTTTGTTTAGCTCTGAGACCCACTGTTCCACAATATCTAATACTGTTGTTTTTGTTTTTTTTTCCTCTCTGTGATTTTTGCCCTCATTTAAAATACAGCTCATATTCATTCTGCTGGTCTTTCCAAGGGGACGCACAAAGCAGAGCAATGTGTCTCTTGGTCTTACTGGCAGCTGGCACGTCCTTCACCCCAACACAAGCCTGGCCATTTTGGCAAACTCAATACCACTTGTTAAAGGAAAAAAAAAATAAAAAAAAAGCTGAGCTCCAGCTACAGATTAACACACTGGAGCTACCATTAAAAGTGCAGAGCCCCTGGCCTAAGCCCTCAATTCAGAAGGCATTTAAGCACATGTATAACTAAGTGTGGGAACAGTCTCCTTGAAGGCAATAGGATTACTCACTTCTTAAGAAGTTACCACATGTTTAAGTATCTGAATCAAGGCCTAATTATGGTGCTGGTTGACTTCTCGTGCGCGCACCACTGGGGCAGATCTCGCCAATCCCTTAAAGCCACAAGGACAAGCGTGTGTCACGCAGGCTTTTAATAGCTGCTAGGTTTGTCTTCTGAGGCAAACAAAAATAAAAGTCCTCATGCCCTAAAAAATAAAAAGGTACTTTATAAATATCAGGTATTTACACGTGTGAAACTCTTTTAATGGGAGGTGGTTTTACGCACCTGTGAAATGTACAAGCAATGAAACGGTACACTGACGAAGACTAAAAAACAAAACCAAAGTATAAAATATATTACAGGTCCACCAAAATAAATTCACACAGAAGAAAAAAATCGACACAATAGAAACTTTCCTTTTTAAAAAATAGAAGATATATCACAAAAGCTTGAACATGTTTATTTTATGTTAGTACTAAAAATCAAGGGAAAAAGCTTCTTATATTCTTGTCACAAAAATATTTACCAGCCACTTTTTATTTCCACGTTATGATTATCTGGCTCAGCAGGAGTAGAGGCTGAACTTCACCCAGACTAAAGAAATCATTCCAGAAAGGTCTTCTAGGTTTACAATTACTGCAATTTACATTTTCGTCTCCTCTCAGCACCTTACCGCAAAGGTTTCAGAGGAATAAAAAACAAATCAAGAATAGGACAGCTATCTGTATTTACAACATTCATCTTTGTTGCTGCCGAGCCACAGGAGCGGCACCATTAACTACTGAAGTCCTCACACAGCTCTGTGCAAAAAACAGCCCTCCGTAGGTGAAAGACAGCATCAGAATGTACCCAAATCCACCCCCCTGGGCTCGCACAGCCTGAGAAACGCAACAGCCCCCGAACGGACAATCGATCCTTGCCCCCAGTTCACTCCAGAGTCAAACCCATAACACCCGATGACGGAGGGTGAGACGCGAGCACACCGCATCCCTCTGTGACGGAGTCAGGGCAGAAGCGCTGAAGCGACCGCACGACTTCAATCCACGGCCAAGTCTTCAGTGTGCTCTGTGCTTCCTTTTCTTGTGTTTTTTATCCTTCTTCTTGTTGGCACACTTGGAGCAGAACCATTGCATCTCTTCTGGGGGTGCAGCCGTAATTCCGACGCAAGGCCTGTGGAGGATAGGAGAACACCACGCCGTCTTAATGTTACTGCTATTTCTTACCCAAATGAACTAAACTCTTCAGTGAGAGATGGGATCTGGCCTTCTACACATCCCCCCAATTCCTCTAGCAATTATCATTATACTGATGACTATTATGATCTAGAAGAAATGCAAAAAAAACTTGCTTTGAAACAAAAAAAAATGTATTGAAGGGACCCTCCAATAAGAAATCACTTGTTTGCTAAAAGAAATCACATAGTATGCTAAATTTAAAATAATTTCAAATGCTTATTTAATACATCTGAAAAAAAAATAACAACCTTATGATTTTACGTAGCTGTTAAAAAAATGCCTAAAAAGTGATTAATTCCCTCGAGCCATTTATACGAGCTGACATTTATATTACTGTTCATACAATGCTCCACAACTTGAAATGTCTATCTGTATACACCATGCTCACAATCCTGCACTTCTCACAAAATTACCAGAATCAGCAATATTTCCTGGTCGTTTCGAAAACAACCGTTATCACCAATTCCCATTAATTAAAGTAACGCTCCTTCACAGTTTAAAATCTGCTTCTTCAGATTCCAGAGAAACAGAGATAAAAGTATCTTCCAGATGATTAAATTGGACACAGCAAAGCCATTCAAATACGCCCAGCCTCATGAACAACAACAACAACAAAAAAGGTTTTAATAATGTAGCCACAATCTGCAAAGGAACGGCAGAACAGGACGGATGAGAACAACTTACCAGTGATACCAATCATCGCAGTCATCACAACCTATCATTGGACTGCCATCATCTGGCTTGTTACAGCCAGGACAGAACCAGATCTGGTTACCCCATTCATCTCGAATCTGATGCAAAGAAAAGGAAAGTTAGCTGGTTTTAAGGGCTAAGCAGGCAGCAAAATCAATCTTCAATGAAAAAAAAAAAAAAAGAAATAAGGCAGTTTGTTGTTTATCCAAGAAATGCTCACTGCCCTTACTTATGAATTCTCTTGTTGTATGTGTTCAGAATTACGGTTTAATTGATTTTTCCTATCCTGCATTTTTCTGCATTGTCTGTAAACCAGCAAAGCCAGTTATACCACCCGACCTATGCACAGTCATTCACATATAGCAGACGGGGCTTAGTGACACAATTCCTTCTCTGTCTATACTACCACGACCAGAAGACTTTTAAAATTCTACCCTGTTAATGGCAAGAATGGGCTACAGCAGGCTCTTGTGTGAGATAACAGTCTTATATGCATGTAACATATACAGTGCCATGTGTATATATTGCCTTATTACTTATTAGCCAAAGTCTTCAACTCAACTAGCTGATAAGATCAGGATATAAAAAAAAGTTGTTACTGAGTAACTTTCCATTCCCCTTATGACATTTATGCCATGGTACCATTTACTAAAGGGTAAATGAAACAGGAGAGGCAGATCATTTACAGTATTGGACGGCTGCACACTGGATTTGTCATATTCAGAATTTTGTAAAAAAAAAGTTTACATTTATATCCTGCTAAAGCTGTATTCGTATTTTTAAATTTCAAATGCTCTAATACTTTTTTATTTTGTTTTGCATACATGAAAAACGTCATGAAGTTCATTCAAAGGAGTGTAAAATAACAATATGAAGCACAAAATGTCTGTGGCATTACCCTGATTTCATCATTTCTTTATGGAGATTTGCACATTATAGCCGAATCTCAAAAATATGAACCATTTTGTTCTCAGCTTTTGTGCATTAGTGCAGTTACACATATCTAAGACAATAACTTTTTGCTATCTGCAGAGCTTACAAACGTGGTATTAGAAAGCAGTAGATAAAAAATCCCCAAATGCTCTTAGGGAAAAAAAAAAAAAAGCCAATACATGGTGGTCTGTACATCTTACACCACTGCCAGAAAAATCAATAGGAATATACCAAAGCTGCAACCAACACATCACTCTTGACTGACTCTTCTTAAAGCCCTGATTTTTTTTTGTGATCTAAAACTAGAAAATACAAAGCCCAGGAATATTAAGCAGGGAACAATCCCTTTCTAACCCCAGTGTGCAGCAGGCAATGCCATATGACAAACTGAATTTTAAAGCTCATTGCATTGATCATTCCTATCTACACATCTGCTCTCCATTTGTGGATGCTGATGCTGGGCAGGTGCCCCACCTTGGTGCCGCCAGTGTTAGACAATGCTGCCTATGTTGCTCCACCAGAATATGGACTTTTTCACTTTTCCAAACTTAATTTTCCAGGGGGATGTTTTTCTGCACAATGCCAGCTTTCAGATGATCACGGGTTGGAGAGGGACAGGGTGGTCTACATCCACTGCAACCTATCTGGATTTGCTAAACAAGAACTTGGGCTGCTGAATGAGGATGTCGAAATATTGCCTAACTTCTTTTTCCTTAATGGGTTGTGGAAGAAGGGACAGTATGTGACTGCTGAATGCTATTTTAGTACAAACCATTTAGAGTTAATGATCAGAACACATTTGCTGAGATACTATCCTGCAGGGAAATCCCACATCATATATTTTAACTATAACATCGTCCTTCTGTCCTTCCCTGCGGAAGGGAGTTGTGCACCTCTGTCACACTGGCTCCAATCCTATCTCTAGAAAAGCTTTCCCATGTGACCTTGGGAAAACTGTTTCATCATTCTGAGTCCTGATTTCCCTCCATAGAAGAAGCTATTAAAATTATTAATTATTCCTTTTTTTCCCCAACCTCTCTTTCAGTTTCTTTACTTAGAAACTTCTCACATCAGGAATCTCTCTGCCTGCAAAGGTACTTGGATCTTAACACAGTAAAGCCCTGGTTTCAACTGTAAAAGAAAAAACAAATAACCCAGAGTCTACTGAATAGAATCCTCCAATTTCTCCCCAAGGCAGTAAGAGCGTTACCACTGAAACACTGGCCTTAGGAAAAGTAACAAGTTTTCCTTCCTTAAACACCCATCACCTCTCAATTATTTGCCTCCAATGCTTACTAGGGAAAATTGGATGTAGTACAGTATTTTGAAAATGTTTCTCTCCTAGAGAGAATTGCAAAGCTTCTGGACACTACTGTAATAAGTAAGGATGGCATCACACTTATGCTGTGATAAAGGAGGTGAGGATGCATATCTTCATCCCAAAGATATGCACAGCCTATGTGAGGTAGTCGAATACTGTAACCAACTCTGGAGTGAAATGTAGCAGCTGTTTAAATAGAGACCAGTAACATGATACAGCAGTTTAAGTCAAGCAGGGAAGAGCACCTTCTCCATTGGAAACAGCAGGGTAGATTTACACTAGGAATCATTATAAAAACAGGAAGGAGGAAAAAAAAAAAAAAAAGGAAAAAATCATGCAGACTTTGCAAGCGAAGTACAGAAAGCTCTGTAATAAAAGCAAGTTTCAGGAGTTTCAAATGGTGAGAGTTTTAAACTGGTACCCGCTATAGATAAGCAAGGTGTCACCAACCAAGCTGGAACTCAGCCAGGGCAGGGAGGATTACAACACTGCTGCTATTGTTGGCGGTATCTGCTGCTCTTCGGTGATTAGAAATGGTAGGACTACCACCTTACACTGCATCTAGAGTAAAAATTTTCCATAGCAGAACAGTCCCAGCACTACCCAGAGGTGTGTCTGTGCTTGTTTAGAGAATGTAGCCCCTTCATCCTGTTGGAAGGGAGACTTGGATGGGGCCCTAGGCAGTCTGACCTAGTGGGTGGTAACTTCATCCATGGTAGGGGGGTTGGAACGGAATGGGCTTTAAGGCCCCTTCCAACCTAAGCCATTCTATGTGGAGTAATTAAGAAGCTTTAATGGTGCCAAAGAGAAATCAAGTTCAGAGCAAATTCTACAAATTCAGATGCACAAACGTGCAGTTTCTGTATGTTGGAGAAAGCAGGATAGAGAACAGTGCACTCTGCACACTACAAATGAGGGCTAAGTCAGATTCTTCTGCCTGACAGCAAAATCTATGGTGAGTTTGACATTTGAGGTTTCAATTTAGGGCTACGAAAGTATCTATAAAAAAACGTCATCTCCAAAAATATATGCTCCAGGTGAAAATTCCAAGTGGGATACAGCTGGGCTTGTTGGAATTAATTTAAATGTTGAGCTGGGAAGACAGAAAAAAATTAGCCCAATAGTGTTTTAACTATTAACCCTTCCAAGCAAGTGCCAGAGCAGAGAGTAACATCACAAGTCTAATGCCATCAGTTTGAAGTGATGAGTCACCATGAAGCTCAGCAGTTCAGGAGATGAATGTCACTGGGACAACACATCACAGCACATGCCACCTACCACGTAAGTACTGACGGTCTCAGTCACCACGCTCCTAACAGGTGCTTTGGAGCCTCCAGCTGCAGAGACGGCTGGGGATGCTGGTGGAAGTAGGGCAGGTGAGACTGTAGGCTGTGGAGGAGCAGGAGCTGGAGCTGGAGGAGGGGTGACGTGCACAGGAGCTGGTACAGGCGATGGCACAGGGGGAGGTGTTTTGGGCCGGCTCACAGGAGTAGCAGGTTTGGCCTCTGGGGCTGGCACCACTTTGCTGATGACTCTGTAGGACCAAAAATGGGGATCGTTAAGAGTTGATGGGAAGAAGGCAATGGTTGATCGCTGGGGAGATATAAAGAAAATATAGTACAGCTAATTCACATCACCTTTAAGTCAGCAAAGAGGCTGTTTCAACCAAACACAAGGACCGCTCTTATTGCCACATCCATCCACAGATCCTGACTACAGGACAGGATGAAGTACAGAACTATTACAAAGTGAATGCCAGGACAGCCTGAACCACTCTGTAGCCTGCTGTCATATAAATATTCTCTGTGGCTTTACTAAACCTTGTTTCGTTAAGTTTTATTACATTAGCTCAATTTGTGGGAAATATTAGAAAGGAAAGTTAATCAGCTGTGAACAGCACTGATTTTAATCTTCAAACTGCGAGACGATATCATCCTCTTAAGATTCTACATTAGGGGTTCTGCAAATATTTGCTGGTTTGGTATTTCTTTCCTCAAATGTTTACGTAATCAGCAGCAGATCTAGTCAGGACAAATAAATGACGCACACTATACACTCTGCAGTTAAAATATTGCTACTTACTCGAGTAGCTGAAGTAGACAGGATGTAGCTCTAGTAAATACAAAGTATAGAATAATCTTGCTCAGGAAGGGGGATACAGGACCCAATATTTACTAACGAATGTTAGTATATAGTGTTATTGATGTGCATACATTTTAACAGACAAGGCTCTTACTATAAGACTCTAGACTAGAAACGCAGAGAGAAGCAAAAGGACATTTTAGAAAACAAAACAGAAAAACCCCAAACAAAACACTGGATAGGACTATTTGTTTTTACCACATTTTGGTAAATCATTTAACTTATTTACATTTGAATGGTAACTGTGGGAGTACAATTAATTTGTGTAGGGACTAGAGGAAGAAGGAAAATTAAAGAAAGAAAGGTTACACATTCCAGAGAGGAGGACATCTAAGAAAGAAAAGAAAAAAAAAAAAAGGAAGAGGAAAAGCATGATGAAAATCAAGTTGGAACTGCTCCTGAAAATCAGGGGAGTAAAACCAACTTCCACCATCAGTGGGAATTTTACAGGCAATTTCAGAAGTAGTGCCTCTCTCTTAGGATATTCAAAAGGCAGTATCGATAGGATCAGAGACATTCAAGTCAATAATCCGAGTCATCAACTGAGAAAAAGGTTGGAACTACTCAATATTTAAAGCTTGGCTGAGATAATATGTTTTCTCCCCAGATATGTTACTTCACTACTAAATCAGAATGATGGAAGGTTTTAGGAAAGAGAAAACAGAGCAATGGGTTTGGGATTCTTGATTAGTCTGACAACTCCGCCAACACACCAACATTCTGAGACTTCTTGTAAGTGACTGTTAGAAGAAAAACAAAATTAAGCAAGTTTAGAAACTTTGGCTCACTGGGGCTCCTTACAGAGTGGGCATTTCAGCTCTGATGCATAAAATCACTGAATAAATGAAGTTGGAAGGCATCCACACATATATCACTGAATACAACTTCTGACTCCGCACAGGACCATCCAACATTTAAACCCTGTGTCTGAGAGCATTGTCCAAACGCTCCTTGAACTCTGGCAGATCGGTGCTGCGACCGCTGCCCAGGGCAGCCTGTTCCATCCCCACCTCCCTCTGGTGCAGAACCTTTCTCTAACCGCCCTCTGAGCTGCCAGGGCACACTGCTGACTCATACCCCAGTTCTTTGGTGCCTTCTGTTGTTCACTGCTCCCAAAGTTGAGCATCTAAGACCTTGAGGGTGGGCAATGCTCCCATGGCTTGCAAAGTCCATTTGTGACTTGCGAACCACCTCTTTAAAAAAAAAAAAAATCTTGGCATTAATAAAGGAGGGGAGAGATGACGAGCAAAATATTTGGCCTAGTCGAAGCCATTTGTATAGATTCAAACATTATTATTCCTTCTTCCGCCCCCATTTCTACCCTGCTCCAAGTAAACAAAGTCCTGCTATGAGTTCTTTGGGGAGTCAACCCTTCCCTAGTCTGGACTAGGAAATATATTAGCTAAAAGAATTTTAAACACAACTTTACACACAATGTAAACAGTTTAAGAGAAGAATTAGCTAATACAATTTGAATAAGAGTGACCATGCCCAGCTTAAGTATTAAATTAAATTATAGAGTTTCCCGGTCAGATAAAGCCAGGTTCTCCTCCTGAACAGGGTCTTCGAAAGCCACTCTGATAATGGCTGCAGAAACTGTAGGGAACATCACAAATGAAATCTTCAAAAACTACAAATATTCATTAGAGGGTGACACATACTCATTGATTGTCTGGCTTGCTTGAAGCGTGCAATTAAGACATGTTCAGTATATAGGGCAGCTTGTTTATCTTGATTTTTAGAACTCAGTTATCAAAACGGGAGATCGGCATTTTGGAGCACGCTTGGCCCTACCACTCCCTTGGGCTAATAAAGTTCTGAGACTTAAGACTCCAGAGTGGAGAAATGAATGGCTTTGTGCTACACCATTAGAGGTGATGGGGTAATCGCAGAGAGGGTGGTTGGGCCTGTCCTCCTTCCTGAAAAAGGGGCTTGCACACACAGCAACAGAGAGGTGGGAAGAAATCAAAGGGAAATAGCAGTCCCACGACTAATAATTAATGTTACTTCAGACTCAGAGAGAAACCTGATATCAAAACAGTATGTAAATGATGGCAAGATTTATGAGATCTATTTTACAGACAAGAGCAGTGAGGCACAGAGCACGCTGCAGGTAGGCGGCACTCACTACAGAAAAGCTTCAGTGCTACTGCTACTGAGGTCCATGCTGGGATTTAAACTGCACATCTGGACATCACCATACCTATATTGTTACATTCCTTCCAAATGTGCTTCCAAAATCAAAGCTTTTGTGTTACAAGTCTGTAAGTACAATATTAAGTAAGATGAAAATATCCCTCCTCATCGTTCAAGGTCCAAAAACTCTAAAATCAAGGCTGGATTCATAATTTTTCATGGTAATCAAACACAAATGAACACCAATCACCATCTACACACTTGGAGTCCCAAGACCAGAATTACACTTCTCCGCATGCTGCTTGCCTGGCAATGTATCACACATGCATATTCTGCACTGAAAGATAAAAATCAAAGCTGTTTTTGAATCAAAATAGCTCCCCTAGAATGAAGAGGTGTGAGAAAACCCTTGGCATAGATGTGGTAACAAGAGCCTTCATAAATCATAACTAAAGGCTACCACTCCCTTAAAAAAAAAGGAAAAAAAAAAAGAATTAATGTAAATACTGTGTGTCTGGTTGTGTCCAACCCAAATTCTCATTGGATTTCTCCTTAAATGCTAACAGGACTGTATTTCTTACAGAACCTCAGTGTATTTATAATTGAACACATGTGTTGATAACAAGTTTAAAGTAAACCTCTTAAAAACGGCAGAGTTAATGAAATCCCATTTTTGTCATTACTCCAGGGCAATCACTCTGTTCACATAAGACAGATCCAAACCCAAATGGTACGAAAACTGTGTTGGCTCACGAGATCTCTACTGAGATCTTTAGTGTCATGATCTTTAGTCAGCTTATAATCGCTTCTAACTGGCATGAGCTGTAACATGCTACATCTGGAGCAAAATGAGGCTCCAAGGTGTGAAATAGTTTCCTATCTTTGGAAGTAATTTATTTGATTTCATTTTGACCCTTACGGCTGAAAGCCCCATTGACTCCTTCACATAAACAGAGGGAAAAGACATGTGCATCGAAAGGAAATGGCTTTTCAAAAATAGGATATGAGCCACAGAGCTGAATGATTGCTATGGGTGATTGGCTCCAAAAAATATGCTGTATCAGTACTGAGAACAGTATGGACCAGAATCACACAGGCTCTGCCTAGAAGAGGAACAACATTTCTAAAGCTCTAATTGTCTTCTTGTCTAAAACCAGGACCCATTTTAAAGCAAGGAGCAGGAGCTTAAGGTCATTTGTATGCAGCAAAACATCCCCAACAACTATACCAATGTAATTATAACTAGCACAACTGCCACTCACATTATTACGGGTGCTATTTTTATCTATTAGTGTTGATATGCCCTTATTGATACAAGTTCTTCAATGCTAGAAAGTGAGGTGACGTAACTACTTTGATTACTGGGAAATCTCACACTTGTAACTGAGATAGCTCCACTAGAAAAAAAATGAAATACTCTAAGAACTATGGGTAAAAGTGTCAAAAACACCTAGGGGAATTAGGAACATTTCCATATGGTTTAGATTCCTCACAGATTAGAGATTATTTTGAAAATTTTATTCCAACCCTGGAGGAGAATTGGTGTAATTTAAGCTCTGTAATGTAAGCTAATTCCCATATTACTTTTAGAAAGGGAAATTTAGTTTTTATCTCTCTTATGCCCTGCTGAATATTTTATTCTGTGCAAACAAGTCGTATTGGCAAATAGAAGCTCCACAAGTATGTGCTATGACCAGCTCGCGTGCTTGCAGAGTGCCAAAATGCATCAAACCTCCAGCCAAGCCTCTAGCAATTTTGCAAGTGAAAAGACTTCAATATGTAACCTTGAAATACTAATAAAAACGTATTTTCATGTGATTAATTGCTTGCAATGTTACATTCTTCTCTATCAAAGAGAACACGTATTTCAAAATGCCATCCATTTCTGTGGATGTCGTCTGGCCTAATGTAGGTGGCAGAGGGTCTGTGCATGTGTACAGAGCTTTGATGGTGCCCGTGGAGCTCAACAACTCATTCTTCATTTCAACACTGTGGCAAAACCCTGCAAACACCCCTACCTGGACAAATGAATCTAGCAATTTCAAAGGCAGTGTGTCACCTAATCCCATTCACAAGTTTACTGAACCTCATCTTAAAACCAGTTAATCTTTTTGTCGCCACTATTACCCTATTTCAGGATCTCCCTGCTCTGGTGGCACAGAAACCTCTCCTAATTTCCAGCTTCCATTCATAGCCAATTAATTCCCACTTGTTTTTGTGCCAACGTTATTCTTTACTTAAATAGCTTTCTCCCTC